AGGACTCCAGATCTGGGCTCAAGGCCCAGTGCTGCCAGAGCCTGAGGGCTGGTCTCTTGGGCTGTGTGAATACTTTTCAACATGAAAACACCAGGGCTTTGCTGTTCCCTTTCCTGCTGTTTAATGAATATCAGCCTTGTCTTCCCGGCTGTGCTGCAAACCTTGAGGGCAGGGTTCATTTCCTTTCTTACAGCTCCTAGCACAGGGCTGACTTGTAATAGATGCAGACTGATACTCTATGAGAGGGGTTTTGGGGGTGCTATTTTATCCCCTCTCCCATCTGTGTGATGAGGAATAGGTGGTATCTTCCCAATGCTCCACGCATATAATTGGATATCTTGGGTACCTCTTGATCCCAAACTATTTTTTTCTGTTCTTGATTTTAGAATTTGTTCATTATGTTGTCTTTTTCACTATGTGAATGCACAAATTGATGTGATAACTTCTGAGATTTTCAAATGAAAAGGAATTTCCAGAGCAGGGTGATGAGTTTTGGAAGCACTGTTCCATTGTACAACAACAGGGGGTGCCATTCACATTTCTTTTACAATATGATTGGCTCTCCCTTGAGGCTGCTAGGATTTACCTGTGGTACTCCTGAAGGCACAAGAGCACGGGGTAGATGACTCTTCAAGATCTCTGGGCTCTGTGACTCTAGAACACTCTATTCACAAATTCTTTGTAAGATGCTGCCATTTTCCCACTGGATCCCAAATCGCTGTCACTAACTGAAGTATACTGTCACAGACATTAAGATAACTAATACTTCGATGCAAGTTGAGGAGGAGGCAGGAGAGGTTGTGGGTAAACTATTCTCAGTTTGAGACTGTTCTGAAGGATGTGACTGTCCTTCCCCACCCTTGCTCAGCAGAGAGCAGTGGAGGTTCAATGCCACCCAACTCACACCAAGGCATCTCAGCCCTTTGTCTTTTCCCTACCGCCTGGCTTGCCGTATCCTACTGAAGAAATGTGAAGAGTCTGATTTAACAGGCCTTGGGAAATCCACCCACCTTAGCAAAATGTTTTCCATTTGCCAGTCCCTAACACTTGAAATGAACTAGTAGACATTTTGTGTTTGCATGTGTGTCAAATAATTCTTCCCATAAAGAATTAAGGATAGGCTTAAAACTTATGGGTGTTAGAAATCAAGATAGTGGTTACCATTGGGGGATGTTAATGGGGATTGGGAAAAGGGAGTCTCTCAGCTGCTGGTAATGTTCTATTTCTGCATCTGCGTGTTCCTTTTTATGAAAGATTTATGGAGATTTATAGTTATGATTTGCATATCTCTCTGCATATTTGTAATACTTCAAAATAAAGTTTATTTACACTTGATCTTAGCCAAAAGGCTGAGAAGCAATAAAAAATAAAGTTTATTTAGAATAATTTTTAGAAGATATCCTTGGGAAGCATTCACAGATATTTATAACTTAGTTAAAACAAGCAGGTGAACTTATGTCTACAAGAGAGTCAGCAGTGTGCCAAGACTTCAGATGCCAGGGGAAGAGCAGTTGACAGAGGAGATGAAGGGAAGTGGATTCTCTTTGAGCTTCAGCCTGGGCCTCATTCTGCCCAGGTTCTTTGGAATACCCCATGCCAGCCTTTAAATCATGGACACTTTTTCCTCAATTCCATTTCCATTCTCCTTTAAAGGTGTAAGAGTAGTGAGCAGCTTGCAGAGAAGACTGAAGTGAAGAGTGCTTGCTTTGGTTCAAGAACCGGAACAGAGGAAGGTGATTCTCTTGAGCAATAGCTTCAGGGAAAGTGTGGGGCCAGCCCTTTCTTTGGAAAGCAAACCGTGGATGATTTCTTCCAGCATGACCCGACTGCAGTTAGACGAGAGGAGAGCAATAAACCAGGGCCACATGTGTACCAGATGCACAAAGCTCCGTGTTTATGTGTGGAGGAGAGAGGAGGTGCTCTCTCAGCTAGGAAATCCCCCACCTCACTCTCCCCACAGTCGGCTGATGTCTCTTCACCCCTTCTCCTGCCTATTCCCTTTCCCATGATGCACGCACAGGCCCTGGGGCCGGCAGCCCGACTTGCCTGTGAACAGGTCCTCTGCTTGCCCTCTAGCTGGTGAGTCACCAGCTCTCCTCAGTCTCCATCCAGCTTCTGAGAAATACTGAAGCTGAACGGGAGATTTCCACATGCACACTGGCAAGGCCCGCCTTGCTGCGGGATGCAAGCGGAGTAAGCCTTTAGGAAAATGCTTGTTTGGCTCTCAAGCATTCTCATTTGTGTTGCTCATAAAATAGGTATTATGTTCTCAAGTGGAGTTCCATCTGTTTCATTTGGGTCCAAAATTTGAGGCTGAAGAAATACCATTAAATCCTTCTTCTTGGTGGTGCCTTCTGTTGTTTTCTTCCTTCAAGGACATCAGTATTGGGTTGATAGCTGTTGCACAAAGGGCCCCCAGGTCTAGCCATCCCTGGGGAGTC